TCAAGCTCTGTTTTCCTACAGCAGCAGCAGCAGCAGGAAAACTGCAGTCTTCCAGGTGTTTTTGGACTTATCTCTTCTACCAGAGCCAGCCTGGGCAAAGGGTAGCGGTGATTGGAGTGTCTAATAACACCTGTTGGAAGCAATTTTATTTTCCTTCATAGATACAGTCTATAAACATAGTAAACGCAACATGAGATGAAGCTGAAAAAAATCAACCCCAAAGGCTTAATAATCCTTCATGCACCAATCAATAATTAATCAATTGTTCACAAAGAATTAATCAAGACCATTCCACTAACAGTGACCTCATTTTAAATTAAGAACAGAAGCAGAGCTGTGCCTTATGGAGTTGAGCATTCTCTTCACAAACTGGCCAGCTAGAAGCCCATGTTGGATATCCACTGATTTAGTCGTCCCCAAAAGGACATGCATTAGACATAAAGAGGACACCGATCCACATAGCAATTGCATATACTAATCTCTCTAGCTTCAGAGAGCATCATCACTACCACAATTTATACAGAAATACAGCCTTCCCTCATCATAGTCAGGAACCCTGCGACCAGATGTGGGTCATGCCCCCACTGGAGGTATCCTGTTCAGAGGAAGATCTGACTCCCTTGACTTTAGAGAAGCTGTATCCCCTGAGGAAGCAGCAGAATCAGGAATTCCGGGAGACAGGATGCCATTGCATGAGGGTGAGTGGGGTGGGGGGAGTCTTCTCCTTTCCTGGGATGACTCAGGTCTGAGCAAGATGTGGGAGGACTGTCCAACCCCCAGGAATGCTGCCACTGGCCGAGAAGAGTGCAACTACTCCTGTTGAGGTGGAGTGCCAGGCTGCCTGCCAAGCCTTTGTAATTAGCTGACGCTGGGAGCCTGGGTGGATCTAGCCAGCTCCTAGATAAAAGGCTCACGAGGGCATTGCAGAGTGCCAGAAACAAGGTTTCCTCTGGCTCTTGAACCCTGCACCTATGCTCCTGCTTCTTTGACTCTGAATTTCCATGTACAGTGTGACTGTGGACCAGCTTGACTGTGGCGTGCTGTATCCCTGACTGCATTTTTGATTTGTTGGCTGGCTTTGACTCTGGACTGTCTTGACAACTCTCTTGTCTCTTCCTTGCAAGCTGGTAATTCAAACCACCGTGAGCTATCTGCTTTACTACGGAGCTTATCTGCCTTCGTAATTCCCGTTCACTGTGTTCCCACCTAGATGGCGATCTAGTGCTTTAAAACTGAGTAGAAAGAGGACATCCTGCTCAGTGAGCTGTAGCAATGGCTGAAGAGGGCCTCTGGCCTGCTTTCTCTTTTTATGGCTCTTTGCCTTTCATTCAGACTTGGACAGGACAGTCATTCAATGAGAAATGGATTTAGAAAGAGGGCTGGTTTAGGTAAAATGGGATATGTAGCATCCTATGCCCATGGAAAGTCCAGACCATGGGTGCAACAGCATCCTTCTCTTCATGGCCCATCCCAGCTGGTGTTCAGAAGTATATTGCTTCAGAGGGAACATCTAGCCATTAGGAAGGGAAACCATCGCTTGGCTTTTCCTCCACAAGCTTGTCTAATCCCCCTTTGAAGCCATCCGAACAGGCAGACATCATGACCTTTTGTGGAAGCAAGCGCCATCGCTCAACTATGTACTATGTGAAGTGCTTCATTTTAATTGTCCCAGAAGTCCCACCATTCGTCTTCATGAAATATCTCCAAGCATGAATTCTCCACGCCATGCATATTTTTATACACTTCCTTTTTACTATCCTAAAAAGCCTCTGATAATGTACCCTTTCTGTATAGGAGAATCATTCCAGCCTTTTGATTGCCTTGATATTTCTGCTGTACAAAATCTGTTTGGGGTGTGTTGACCAGAAACCACCACCACCATCAGAAGGCAGCTTCTGGGAGAAAACAGGAGCAATTGTGGACTTCACTTGCTCCTTATTAGCTGTTGCACTGAGGTTGGGTTCCTTGTTTTATATCACTGCTTTAACATGTGCCTGGGAAACTCACTGAATAATCCGGGAAAAGGCAAGGAGAGTCCTTATTAGTCTGGATACGGGCAGGGGGAGGCATTGGACCATTTGAGGAGAAAGAGGGCTAGATACCTTATGACTATCCTCAGTTCTGGTTTTTCCTCCAGCCAGATGGTTCCTGAATGCCGTACCAGCTTGTTCTTCAGTCTGGTGGTGCTGTTGTTAAAGGCCAAATTACTCAAAAGCAACATCTTCTTCATCCAGGGTTTAATTGTGGATGAAAAGATTGACCTGGTGTGCTTTACTGAGACCTGGATGGGGGAACTGGGACGGGTTGTTAAGAGACCATTAATCATTTTTGGGGCTGAATATATGATTTTAACCCATTTCAAACACTGTACAAGAAACCCCACATTTCTCAACATAGCAAAAAAGAATTTCCAGCAGATTTTATTGAAGCAACTGCAGAAAAATGGAAGCTTCTGTCTGTATTGGTGGAATCTCACCAACTCTAATCACTCTATGATTATCTGCCCTCTGTTTATTTTTAATAAACCCCACCTGGTCTGGTTGAACTAGTTGTTGCAATCTGTCAACCAAAATTGCAGTCAATATTTAATATCAACATTAATTAATGAAATAGGTCAATAATTAGCATTGTAGCTGTTATCTTTATCAGTCTTTGGAATCACGGTAATATACGTGTCACTGAGTGTTGATGGAAGAAAGCACCTTTCAAAAACAGACAGTACAACCTTGGAACTAAAAAGCTATAAAATGTTATATACTGTTCAACGGGAATCTGGTGATTCCCAGATGATTTCTGGGAATGCATTTTCATTATTGCTTCTCTAATTTCCTCCATATGCAAATGTGAGGAGTCTAAATTTGGAAGATAGATGTGAGAGAACCATTTCCTGCTCCAATATTTCACCTCCTCCAGTATATAATTCTGAATACAACTTTGAAAATTAAGAAAATACGTTTTTGAGAAAAGTATCTTTTACCACATTCACCTTTACTAATCAAAATACTGTTTCAGTGTTTTTTGCTGTATGAACCAATTTCCAAAATCTTATATTCTGTGACTACGAAGGTTATATTCTGTGACTATGAAGGTCAACTTCAGCCTCTTCAGCACCAGTGGTTGGGGCATAGACTTGGACTACTGTGATGTTGAATGGTTTGCTTTGGATTCAAACTGAGAACATTCTGTCATTTTGGAGACTGTATCCCAGTACTGCTTTTCCTACTCTTTTATTGACTATGAAGGCTACTCCATTTCTTCTGAGGGATTCTTGCCCGCAGTAGTATACCTGATGGTCATCTGAATTAAATTCACCCATTCCTGTCCATTTTAGTTCACTGATTCCTAAGATGTCGACGTTCAGTCTTGTCATCTCTTGTTTGACCACATCCAGCTTGACTTGATTCATGGATCTTACATTCTGGGTTCCTATGGAGTATAGATCTTTGCAGCATCAGACTCTCCTTTCACCACCAGATACATCTGCAACTGAGTGTCCTTTCGGCTTTGACCCAGTCGCTTCATTCTTTCTGGCACTACTAGCACTAGCCCTCTGCTCTTCCCCAGTAGCATACTGGACACCTTCCGACCTGAGGGGCTCATCTTCCGGCATCATATCTCTTTGCCTTTTGGTACTGTCCATGGGGTTTCCATGGCAAAGATACTGGAGTGAGTTGCCATTTTTTCTCCAGTGGATCACATTTTGTCAGAGCTCTCCGCTATGACCTGTCCGTCTTGGGTGGCCCTGCATGGCACAGCTCATAGCTTCATTGAGCTGCGCAAGCCCCTTCGCCATGGCAAGGCAGTGATCCATAAAGGAGACCCATATATTATCTTGCCCCAAATTCAGAGATGGCTGCTCATTGAAGCTCCTTCTGCAGGCACAGCTGCTTCAGTTTCCCGCTGAGATAAGTCTGGGCCGTGCTGGAGGAAGCAACAGATTAAGACTCCCTTTGAAATGCACCTGCTCTTCCTCTTGCCAGGATCTTGTGGCCAACCAAGGCCCACAGCACAAGGGCACGGTCAGATACACTTTAAGCGAGCTGGGTAACAGTGGTGCTGTTGCGCAAAGTTGGACTTTGGATTTAAGGAAAGGAATGAGCAGATTGAGGAACAAGAGGTGGAAGGTTCCCCTCCAGCTGGGAAGGCCGCTGCGTTCAGGCTACATTCCCTCGTAGGCCTCATGGCTTCCAGACTACTGAGTTCCAACAGGAGAAGCAGGCTTGCATTAAGGTGGATTGTGACCTTTGGAGCACCTCCTAATGTTCAAGACACCGCTGAGAAGAGCTGGGCTCCAGGCCTAGCTGCCCACAGTACAAGCTGACGAAGACTGTAACCTGAGGCCTCTGAGAGAGTTTCACTTCCATTTGGCGGGAACACCTCTGGAATCTGTGCTGGATGGACAAACAACCTGTCCTTGCATAAGGCATCTTCCCACGTTCCTGAAAGGGGATGTGGGCGCTTTGACCTGGCCAGTGTGTCAATATAAATGTATGTGAATGTTATGCTACAGTGTATTAGTTAAGAATCTAGGCCAAGGTCTCTACCCACTGCTTACTTCCTAGCTTTTTTAGCCAGGAAAAACAAGATTTTTGCTTCCCGTGCCACTTTCATCAGCCCATCAACACGCCCATCCAAACTAGCCCAGTTCAGCAACATCTTAGGTCATACCTTTTAGGTGCCAGGCAAACATCTTTTTATTTTCCAGACATTTTAAAAATTAGATCTATAAATTTTATTATAAACAATTTTAGACCGTTTTATCATTTTTGCTGAGCCTGGGGTTAATTAACAGACTGTTCTAGTTATTTATTGCTGGATTTCAGTGTTTTAATGATTCTTATTGTCCCTTTAATTGCTGGTTTTTACTATAATTTAAAATGTATGTGTCTTAAATTGTACACAGCCCTGAGAGCCCGGTGGGCTATAGCACAGTATAGAAATGTAATAAATAAATTAATGCCAGTGTGATTCACTTGGAAAAAAAAAGACAAACACAAAGCTTCAAATCCAAATGGACTTTATAGTCAAAGGCTCTGTGTTCTACTGGAAAAAAATCAAGGGAGAATAAAGGGCAACAGCTATTTCATCACCAGTGTAAGAAAACAAGGCCATGGGATAGTCCATTGTTGGAGCAACTAGCAGGTGCTCCCTGCCTCCTCATTCATTCTTTTCATTAGCTGGCTTTTCTGGGAGTGGGCGCAACAATCCTGCAAGAGAAACAGAGATTAGGATTAGAGAAAAGCAGAAACATAGAAACAGAGCAAGTCAGAAGGTGCCTCCCAGGCCATCTAGTCTGATTCCCAACTCCAGCCGGCTCTGCTCACGACATGCCCACCATGTGCATGTCTAGCCTATCCTTGAACACCCTCACCGATGGGGCCTCAACGACCTCTCATGGAAGCCCATTCCACACCCTCGGGGTCCTAACTGTCAGGAGGTGCTTCCTGGCATCTAAATTGATCCTTGGTTCCCTGAGCTTTGCTCCGTTGGAGCGCCTTCTGCCTTCCTCTGCAGGGGAGAACAGATCTCTACCCACCTCTGTGTGACACCCCCTCACATACCTGTGTGTCGCCAACAGATCCCCTCTGAGTCTCCTCTTTTCCAGGCTGAAGAGACCCAGTTCCCTCAGTCTCGCCTCATACCCCATCCCCTGCAAACCGGCCACCAACCTTGTGGCCCTACGCTGCACTGACTCTAACCTGGCTACATCCTTTCTGTAATGAGGGGCCCAAAACTGAGCACAATACTCCAGTTGCGGGCGCAGCAGAGTCATGTAGAGTGGTAGTAATACCTCTCTTGATCTAGAATACCTTCTGCCTATGCAACCAAGGGTGGCATTCACCCTCTTGACCACCGCATCACAATGCAGACTCATGTTTAGCCTGCAGTCCACCAGCACCCCGAGGTCCCTTTCACAAGTGCTGCTCTCCAGCCACTTGTCCCCTAACCTGTACTTATGACACCAAGGTGAAGGGCAAGGAAAGGAAATAGATGTATTGGTCAAGAGCATTTTCGGGGTGAATGAAAAATCCAAATGCATCTGGATGATCAAAGAGGTTGTAAAGGGGTTAAGTAAACTGCAGGATTCTCTGAAAGGACTGTGGAGAGCAGGACTAGAACAAGGAGGACAACTTGTCTCCCTCCAGTGTTTTGGCCTAGAACTTTCATCATGCCTTGCCATCAGCAAAACATCTGGAGCGCCATCCCTTCAAGTTACCCACCCCTGGTCTAAAACAGGCATAGCCAGAAGGTAGATTCCAGATGTTTGAGACTTCAACTCCCAGAAACTTCTGGTCAGCATGGCCAGTGGTCAGAAATGCTGGAAGCTGAAGCTCAACACATCTGAACTTCATACTTTCTGCCCACCCCTGGAGGATTACAGAAGAAGCTGGCAATCCTATTAGCAGGTCCATATGAACCATATGTATTCTCTTTCTCCAGTCATTCATTTTGAAATAGTCATTCATTTATTTAAAATATTTCTTGACTGGCTATCAGGGCAGAAGTCTTCCCAAGGTGATATATAATAGTAACACCACATAATACAAAAGAAATCTTAAAAACCAGTAAACCCACAGTAAAATAGCAACTAAGGAAACAAAAACAAATAGCACTAAAAACAGCAACAACAGCAAACATATTTGGGGAAGGCCAAAGTACAGTCCAAGCCTTCTTAAAACCCCACAACAATGGGGCCGGGTGGACCCACAGTGACAATTTGTTCTAGAATGGTGTGGGACCAGTGTGGGAAAAGGTTTCTCTCAGGAGCTTACCCACCTATTTGCTCTCACCAGGTGAGCAAACAAGGAAGCTTCCATGTAGCCTGAAGTGCCTGATCCTGCCTAATCTTGGAAGTTAAGCAAGGTCAGGCCTGGGCAGAAGTGGGATGGGTGACTTGAGTGTATGATTCTATGATTATTGCTGTCAACTGCCTAGAAAGCTTTGGATGTGGACAGTATAAAATGTAATAATAATAATAAAAATAAAAATAAAGAAGGCCTCTCTTACTGGCCTGCATAGACTTTAAAATCAGCATGGGTGAACCTCACTCTCTCCCAAGCCTTTTAAGGTCCAAAGTAAATTGGTCTTGGAAACACTGATAACCAGTGCAGCTACTATAGTATAAGTGTAACAGAACTGAATTCTTTCCCTCCCACCAATATTCTGCATTGCAGTTTCTGAACCGAATTTAAAAATAGCCCCATGTCAAGTGCATTTCAGTTGACCAGCCTGGGCTTCATTAGTACATAGCTAAGTGAGATGAAGTCCATCCATCGTCTCCAGGTAGGGCCTCAGCTAACATGCCAACTGATCTGGTAAAATCCACCCCCAGACACTGCAGCCGCCTGGGCTTCCCAATTAGTGCAGTTTAGGAGGACTCCCTGCTACGCAGGAGTGTCCATATAAGACCAGTGTCAGCCTCCATCCAGAACAGTCGGTTGCATAATCTCGCCTGGATTAAATTTTAGTTTGTTTATCCACATACATCCCATAATAGCTTTCAGAAACTGGTTCATGAGTTTGATAGCCTCCTTCCGATTTTTAGGTAGAAATGAGAAGTGCAGCCCACTGTCATCCACATACTGTTGCCATTTTACACAGATGTTAGAAAGCCTGGCTGACAGGACAGCGCTGTGCAGAACCTCACAGGCAAATGGCCGCTGTGCGAGGCAAATGACCTTCTCCTCCTCCAGAATGGGCTGGAGGCACCTTAAAGCCGGGCCTCTGAAGCCCCTCAGATAAACAGTCCAGGCGGCTGATGGTATCGAAAGCTGCCGAAAGATCCAGAATAACCAATAAGGTTGTACTCCCACCAGCCACTCCTTGGCATAAGTCGGCAACCAGGGCAGTTTCCATCTCTTATTAGGTCTGAAACCTCACTGGAGTTGACCAACATAATCAGTATCATCCAATTTCGTAGCTGTGAGACCTCACTGCAGTGCCTTTGCCAAGCATGCATGCCAAATCTCATACCAAGCAGTAGTTACCCGAAACATAGATCTAGAGTTATTTCCTTCAACATGGGCCTCACCACTGCTTCCTTCAAAGCTGCAGGAACCTCTCCATCCCTCAAGAAGCCACTGATCACCTAGGAGGTACCTAGCCCTGCTCAGCCAATTTTCACAAGCCGGGATGGACAAGGATCAAGTAATAAGTTTTAGTACTCAAAGCAAACAAAAAGTTTGTTTGTATGCTAAGACTGCAAAATTCAAACAATATTTATAACATGACAAAACAGTATGGATGACACCAAAACGGTGCAGCTGTTTCTCCAGGATGCCTAGCAAATGGCTCGCAGCAGGGTAATTGAGGGGAATGGCACCTGGCATAAGCTGGCATGCACCAGGAATTAAAACGAAATAGTGTGGCTTGTTTGATTGTGTGAATGCACATTGTTGGAAAGATGGCTTAACAAACTGGTTTATTTCTTTGATTCCTGAGTTGTTTATGCCTTATGCCTTCCTTCAGCCTCCCTCTCCTGTATCCCAATAGGGGAGTACTGTAGTACTGGCATCTACAGCAGCTGAGTATAGTTGTGGCCTTAATGAGAGAATTCATGAACAACCTACTGTTCTGGGTTCCCAAGCAATATTGACCTGTGGTTTAAATAACCCAGAGTTCAAATCACAACAATAAACTACGAGTTCTCTTTCTCAGTTATGCATGGGTAACAAACCATGATTTGCTAGCATGGGTGGATCTAAATAACACAACAATCTACAGTTCAACAACAACCCATGCTCAACCTTCAACAGGCTTTCAGTCTGTCATGGTATATAAACCCAGTCATAGTAAACATATGGTCCTGGATCTGCACAAAACAACCCACAATTCCACAACACATATTAATGTAAATTATGGTCTACTGTTACTTACGAAACCAGAAAGAGGGATGTATGTCTGAGTAAGCAAGCTTGAGGTTGTACCATTCATGGCTGGGAATGCCAACATATCTAGTTTTGTTATAGATCTACAGCTGGCTATACAACTGAGCCAAATGAGGTAACTGATGATGCCTTTTAGTTACCACTGAGCTGTTTGCTCTTCAGGGTATTTTAGTGCTTTAATCATCGTTGGGGTAGCTTTTTAAAAAACACTTCCAGTATATGGCTGCTATTGAGGTTGGTTTGTTCTTGCTTTTAATTATTTGTGTTTTTATTGCAAGTCTTCTAGGTTTAGATTTTACTGTTGTTGTTTTACATTTGCTATCATGAAAGCCCTAGAGATCCAAACTGTGGGATATAAATTTATCATAAATAAAAATATATGAATACACAGAGATATGGAAAGAAACAAATATTCACCATTTTTATTTATGCTCATGAAAACGCTATTTTATATTGAGTATTTAATGCTAACACTCAAGAATACCATCCTCAGCTGTGTTCTGTTTGACAAATTACTATCTCCTTCTTTAATACAGAAGCATTTCCAAAAAGCTGGTCCTAACTAAGGAGCTTCCAGTGTGTTTGCAAACAATATGCCCAGTTTTCTGACATTAGATAAGGCTGGATTAATAAACCTTTTCTAAGTTTTGTAGTAAGATAAACTGCTATATTTTTGTATCTAGCTTTATTTTATTTTAGATTTTTGCACCTATGCCATTTTTGGTGATAACTTCACTTCCAGCAGGACATTAAAACAATACAATACTTATACAATTAAAACGAAAGACCACATAATCTCAATTATATGAGGCCAGCATGCAATAAAAATGACTGCCTGGAGAGGCTTAAAGCTGAAGAGCATAATCAGAGAAGGCTTAATGTAAGAAAGAGGTCCTTAGAGTCTGTTTACAAGTAACAAGTGAAGGAATTCTGTATGTTTTTGTCAGAAATGTACCAGGAACCCTCCCTGCATAGGTTGGGACCACAATGCTTGGGTCTCAAGTATTGGGACCAGAAAAGAAAACACCTTTTCTGACCACCATCTACCTGGATGCTATGAGCAAGCTCTGGGGCCTGCCTCTGACTGCCGCCTTAGAGGGAGACCATGGCAACAACAGCCTTTTCAGTGGTGGCCCCTGAACAAACACTCCACCGGGGTTCATCTGCTGCCAACCTTGCTATCTTTTTGGCCCCAAGTTAAGACTGTCCTCTACTGCAAGGTGTCTAGTTAAGTTTATTTGGGCTTTGTTGGTTGCTTAATCAGGTTACAAGATATATATTGTTGCAGTTATTGGAATTTTATGTGTGTTTTAAATTTGGCTTCGAATTTTGTATGGCAACCTTTTTAACAACGTTTTATGTCATGGTGTACTTTAGATAGCATTTACTGGATTGTTGCAATCTGCCCAGAGTACTTTGGCTGTTGGGGGGCATAGAGAATACATACATACACGCATACATTTATGCCCGGGAAGGCCTCCCCCATCGCCCTGCTTCTCTTACCTCCAACTTCATGCAGTACTCTCCTAACCATGTGCATGGCTTCTTTTACTGTTTTAACAACACAATCCGGGTTACACATATTGGCAGCTTGCTGGGTTCTGCTTCACCTACCTGCAGAAATTAGGATGAAAAGCATCAGTGTGATTTCAGGACATGCCAAGTAAAGAAAGCCCCGTAACACTCCCAGGACTGCCTGCTGTATGACCAGCCTTGCTCCTGTGCAACCTCAGCATGGAGATATTAAGCAGACAAAATTTTCCTCCATCAGTTCCTCTCCACTGCAGGAAAGGCATCACCTGATTCATTATTGCCTTTTGGGCTGATATTAAATAGTCAGAAGCTCTGTATCAGGACCTTGGAAAGACAACAGTGCTGTTTCATTTCTCTTTGTCTCCTAACTCAGATCACCCATGGCTCCTTCCAGCAAAGATGGAGCCATCAAACCTCCTTTATGGCTCAACTGTTTTGGCCTGCATGGGGGCACCAGATGGTCCAACTGGGGCAGTGCATCATGGGGCTGAGATCTGACCAAAGGCGGTAGCTCTTTGGTAACCAGCTGCTGTGGTTTATTTGTTGATTGATTGATTGATTGATATCCTGCTTTTTTCCTACAAAGGACTCAAGGCAGCTTACATCTCCTCCTCCATCTTATCCCCCTAACAACACCCCTGTGAGGTAGGTTGGGCTGAGAGTCTGTGACTGGCCCTGGTTTAGGCACTGCCATTGTGGTAGAGCCCCCACAGGGATCCTACCCCACATGAGACTGTCTTGTTCCTTTGGGAACAAGAATGCCCCCCCCACACACACACACACTTCTTGGCAGCAGTGCCACAAATGTGGCATCCAAAATTGTCCTTCCCCTTTCCCAGCAGTGAGCTGGCTGAAGCTCTTTGCTCTTGTTTATTTAAGCAGGAGGCTTGGTGATACCAATCAGCTCCAGAGAATCCAATATCCATTTGATCGCCCTGCCAAGTTGTTTCTAAATGAAACACACCCAGCCTTTCAGAGGCCAAGTCTGCTCATCAATTATGATTGTGCTGCTTGGAACGGAAGCAGCAGATGACAATTTGCGATGAGGCCTTTATCTTGCCATTGGCCAAGCACAAATATGGATAGCGGGGGAATCCACATGCTGCCATGCTCCACTTGCCAGCCTCTCACTGCTCTTCTTTTTTTCTTACCAAACAAAAATCCAAGGAGGAGGAAAAGACAGAACATGCCCAGTGCTTTTTGATAGGCACACCTTGGGTAGGAGTCCTCCATTTGGACGCACTCAAAATAACATTAATCTAGAGTAGGCCTTGTAGGGTTAGGCCCAAGTCTAAGTGCCTGGTTCCATACCGCACATCACCCCCTTCCTCATAAAGCTTTTCCTTTCAAGAATTCTGAAAGTTTCCTGTCCAACAGGCTGAGAAAGTTAGCACTCACGCTGGTTGCCTCAGTCCCCCCACCGCTTCTTGTATTTACCTCCAAGGCTGCTCGTTTTCCGCCCAGCAATGTGTGTTTGTGCTGAATGGAAAACCCACAAGAAGCAAAAAGAGTGAAAGATACAATGTGTGTGTTTTCCTGTCCACCCCAATTTGCAAACTCTGTGGCTGGCTTCTGTTTAAAAACACAACAGCACTGTGCATGCTTTACAATCAAAGATATGATTAAAGAAAAAGAAATATGATAGATTTACAAATGCATGCAATTGACAGTGCATGTGGTTTGATCCTCAGCCACTCAGAAGCATTATGAAGCCAATTCCAAAGCAGTTCTGAAGTCAATTCTCTCTTCACCCCAGATTATCCTACAAGTTATCAAAGAGGCTCCAACTTACAGTGTTGTCTCTGCTGTCCTGGATGACTTCTTCTGGTGATGTCCTTTCGGAATCTCATTAAATACCAGCTGCCAGGTCCTTCTGTCCTGCCCACATTGGGCAGGTGGCCACACAGCAGATTATGGGTGGAATCACAATCCTCTCCTGAAGACAGTTTATGCTGGTCAGATTTGTACTCAGCCTGGTGTCTGTGTTGACTTGTGTGGGTGGATAAGTATCTCCTTCGATTCAGTCATGGGTCCTTGAGATAGCCCTGGAATGTATCCTGCCCCACGTGAGTGCTCTATAAACCGCTTGATGTACAGTTGAGAGTTGTTTAGAGATGAAAGCAGGAAATGTGCAGGGCTGGTTTTATAGCATGAGTAAAAGCCTTCCCTATTCCAGCTATGTCACAGTTATTCAAACTGCATGAAGGGCAGTCAGATTCAGGATGATGATCACAAGATGCATAGTTAACTTGACTCTCAGCTTGGCCCGTGCATCAAATGTACCATGATAGTAAAATGCTTTTGTCAAAAATGCCATTCCCTCAAAAAACATCAAGACAGGGTCCACACAATACAAGGTCCCTCTGTGGGGAGCAAATGTCACCGGATCCTCTTCCCCTGCACTACAAACCATTTCAGATTTGCTGTGACCCTTCCCTCCCCCCCCCACCCCCGCTTTTATTTCTTTGTTTTGGACATTGCAAAAGGTGGCTGTGAAGCTCTTGCGATGGCCCGGTGGCATGTAGTCAGGGCTGCCCATGGTGGCCAAGTTTTTAAAAATGTACAGAAAAAAATAAACAAAATAATGGTGTGTGTTTTTTAATCCCTACAGTTGCGCAATGGCAAACAACCAAACCTGTACTAGTTTGTAGATGCTGTGCCTGGGGCGGGTGATAAGCAGCAGGGGTGCCTGCTGGCCCCAGGTACCCATCCTGGCACAGCTGCTCAGAGACAGCAGGTAAGTGTTCCCCTTGGTTTGGTGAAAGTGAGAGTTGTCAATTATAACCAAGCCACACATGAGCTTTAGTTCCAAAGAGGGCTTTGTGGGGGATTTAAACTTTCCTTGCAGCACAAATCTCTAAATCCACCCTTGGTACCCATCAGCATACACATTTTACATCTTGTCCCCAGTGTCGAGGTGCTTGATAAAATGCAAATATGCAGTCCCCACTCTTTTTTCCCAAGGGAAAAGGAGTTTTGTCCGCCTGCTGTCAGAACTCTGGCTTCCTTCAAAAACGGGGTTTTAGTTGGAACTGCAGAGTCTGGACTGAGAGAAACTGAGAGACATAAGTCCCACGGAAAACTCCAGTCTGTTTAAAAGTTTTGATTTGTTTTTGATAGGATTATTCAGGATTTTTAACAGGATTTTTAGCATTCATGTCTGTCTATACTAAACAAACAAACAAACTATAGGTTGCTTTGTAAAAAATAAATAATTAAATAAAGACGCCAGTGTTTTGATAGCTAGCTGTAAAAACCTTCATGCTCCTCTAAAAGGGATGCCTTGCACTTTTCCATTTTTCCAGGCACCTAAAATCTTGGAAAGGAGTGGAAAGGGGTGAGGAACCTGATAAGGATGAGGCCTCCCAAAATACCCAGAGGATCTCACAGCAGAGCCGGTCCCGGCAAATGGGTGACCTCCCCCTTTTGTGAGTCAACATCACTTGTCGCTTTGATTCATCTTGGCAGCTTCCCTTTTATCAGCTGTCTGCAGAAAGCGAAGCAAAGCGAAGCTTCTCTGAAGGCTTTTGGGTGAGTGCCCATGGATACTTTATCACTTTATCAGCAGGCACCCCTGGAACATTAACCAGGTGAAGCTTGTTTGTGCACTTGCGAAAGTTCCCACTGATATTTTGATACTGTTCAAAAATATTTACCTGAATTTCTCACACTAACATTTCAATAAAGGGTGCCAAGGCAGTGATAGCCCCTTCAATGTGTCATTTGGACATTTTGAAGGGACTGCCACTAGCTGGCAAAGTGGAGATTTGAAAAAGCAGTCACTGGCAGGGGGAAGTGGATAAGGCCAAGGTGTGCACTAAAGGCCTCCAGATCATGACAGGGGACACCGACTCAGTGGCCGCTGCGCCACCATGCTCCTTGCCCATCAGCGGATGGCTCACACTGGCCATGGCGAGGCCACACAGGGCTCGCCAGAGCAGCAGGGAATGCCGCCGTTCATTCTGAGCAGCTCGCTAGCTAGCCACTTACCCAATCCACACTGAAGAGGGTCGCCTGGGTTTTGATGCCATGACAACCCATTCTGTGTCCAGCTATCCCTACAACAAAGCATGGGTTGTAGCTGTGGATTGTTGTGCATAGACAAGTCATCCTGAAAGTGTCAGTCTGAGTTCACACAACATGGCTACCCACCGTGGCTGATCACCCATGGTGGGTTGTCATGTCATGCAAACCTGGTTATGGAGTCCTATGATGCTGGCAGTGGCTTCTTTTTGATTGGGTATCATCACTCATTGAAAAAATCTGGACTCATAGCAGCTGTTCATGCACTGCATTCCCTATGAGATGAGAATCATCTGGATAAGGTATAGTGAGAGCACTACAGATGCAGAGACTTAGAGGTCAAGCCTGGAAGGACGAACACCCACCAAGCATCCTTCATTGGGCCACAGATCTTCCTGGTCTTGGTACATTCAAATATGTCTTCTACAGCCATCACTGGTATGGCTGTTTATTTAGATATACTTACCGTATGTATGTATGTATGTATTTCATTTTTATGCCACCCAATAGCCGAGGCTCTCTGGGCAGTTAACAAGTTAAAACTAAACAAACATTAAAACACTCACACAAACATTAAGATAAAATAATGAAACCACAATGGCAATTGTAATTGCTATGATTCAGCACAGAAGCATAGCAGTGGTACAGAATAAAATGGAACATATAAACATAAAGTTTAAAAATTACACTGTTAAAATGCTGGGAAAATAAAAAAGGTCTTCACTTGGTGCTGAAAACAATACAAAGTATTGAAAATGGCATATTTCTTTGGGGTGATCATTCCAAAACTGGAGAGCCACAACCAAAAAGGCCCTTCTCCTGGTAGCCACCCAAATCACTTCCTTTGGAAGGGGATCCTGGAAAAGTACCCCTGAAGATGATTTTGGGGTCCAGGTAGGTAGATATGGGAGGAGTCGTTCCTTCAGATAACCTGGCCCTGAGCCGCTTAGGACTTGGAATGTTAGTAGCAGCACTTTTAAAAAATAAATGCCAAATCCTTCTTATTAAGCATATTATGTGTGATTGTTGCGTATAGATATGTACAATGATGATAATTTAAATAACAATTTGCCAGCCTTCTATGAGACCCAGGTCCGCTGCTTCACATTGCCCAATGGCAGGGCCAACCCTGTATCTTTTTACGTGCAGTGTGTGGGCTACAACCACTTTGTCATTTTTTAAACAAAACAAAACACTGCAGGGTGTACACTCTCATGCATGAGAAGGAAAAAGCAGGGTCTCTGAAGAAAGGTTTAAAAATGCAGATAAAAAGGATATTAAAGGATCATAAAAGAGCAGGAAGGTGAGAGAAAGCAAGGAAGCAAGCTTAGTACTCGTGATACTACGAAAAGAATAATTGTTGGTTAAGTGCTGTGAAGCTGGGTCTCATAGAAAAGGGAGCAAGAAATCAACTTAATAATTTAATTTTTAAATCTTAAAAATAAAAGAAGCTTAAAATGAAGCTTTAAATTATGGAAGATGTGGTAGTTGTTTCACCAACTACTGTGAGTTTGTTGGGACTCAAGCCTGCAGCGGGCTGTGACATTGGAACAAGAGGAAGATGAGGCATCCCTGAGGGATTCAGCATATGGCCCCAAGTGATCTCACCCGGCCAGTCTTCCCTGCTGGCATTGGCTGGATTAGCAGCATGAATCAGAGTGAACGAGCGGCCAGGCAGGTCTCCTCTGCTCAGGAAGACTCCATCAGCTTTTCGACTGTCAGGAAGGAGCCTTTCGAACCCTTAAGAGGTGGCACCTGGCTGCTTTTCAGTTGGTGAGTGGCCAGACTGAGCACAAATCGATCTATGAACACCAGATGCTGGTAACAAACAAGAAGAGATGGCCGCTCTTGTGAACTTTCTGTGGCTAGCTACCACTGGAGACAACCTGTTAACTCACTGATGGCTCTGTGGAACTTCAGTATTTCTCTGAAAGTGCCAGGCCCTGGGAGGCAAAGAGCAAGGAAGGGTACTGGCAGCAGTGGCTGCTTCATCAGCAGCACCATCAATTTATATCTATTCCACCTATTCCCGGTACTGGGAGACAAGGCAGGTTAGATAAATAGAAGAAATATGCAAAAGTCAAAACTACATTCGTGGGATATTAAAAGTATATACTATATCAATATGAAACATGTTAACAATATAGAATAAAACTAGTCCAATGCAGTCATAGAATAGTGGTGTTGAACGGGGCCAGAAGGCCATTGGGTCCAACCCCCTGCTGTTGCAGGACACCACCTTACACCATCCCATGAAGGCTCACAGGTCCAGACTTTTCCCAAAGGCCTACCAGCACAGAAAGGGTTTTTTCCTGTCTCCCAAAACACAACAAGGAGGTATCAGTCTAGCTTCCCTGGGAGGGAGAACCAGAGCCTTGAGCCAGGCACCAAGAAGACCCCCTCCTGCATTCCTACCAAGCGGAGGCGGTGGGCAGACATAAGGGCCTCTCCGGAAGACCTGAGAGTACAAGCCGGCTCGTAAGGGAGAGTACGGTCCTTCAGACAGCCTGGACCCCAGCCTTATAGGGCTTCATAGGTCATCACCAGCACGTTCAATTGTGTGCAGGAACAGAGTGGGGGCCGGTTAGGGTCTTCCGGCAAAGGAGTTGCGTGCTGAGCAGAGTGTTCATAGTCTGTTTGTGAGCAAGGCCAGCCTCCCCCTAAGCAGCCACCACACGAAGGCAGCCGCATCACTGAAGGGCATGGCGAGGTGGCTCGGTGCGCGTGCCGTGCTCTGGGCCCTGTCCCCTTAAGCTGGAGTCTCAACAGCCTGCAGTGGGCTTGCAGCAGGTATCTTGCTGGCCACCGTGGGAAGCAGGATGCTGGATGAGGTGGCCTTTTGTTTTGATCCAGCAGGGCTCATGCCTACCTTTTCACAGCCTTTACTCCGATCCAGCCATGCAGTTCCTGTGCTCTTTTGTGGCAGTGGCCTTTTGAGATGGAAAATGGCTGT